GGCTCTGAGCTGTCAGCACAGAGCCCAATGCGGGGCTTGAATTCACTAACCACGAGATCATGACCTGAGCCAAAGTCAGATGCTTAACTGACTGAGCCACCCGGCGCCCCAATATGTTGTGATTATTAAGCACAAGATTTCTTAGTTAGTCAATGCACTACATCCTTTTGAGTAATGTCCTCAATTGTTACATATACAGTCCTCACTTTGCATGTCTCTGATAAGTCTGGATTTCACTTACCACACTTAGTGTTGGCTTAGTTAAATAACACTGCTGCCTCAACAACTAATGTATCAGTTACTATAATACATTAGCCAAATAATTGTATAAAGTACAAACTTTGCTGAGAGCTCTTCAAGCCCATGTCATTATGTAAATAACAGATGTACATCATGATCAGTGACTAATCACATCATGTCATTTGAAGTTGTTGGCGACTGGTCACTGCCAATCTATTCGGTTGGTGAACATACAACAAAATGCATAGTTGAACTGTCACCTTGTCTCTCAGTGACACCTTGTCTCGTGTTATTTGAGGAAAATAATTGAAAGTAGGAATCGGCCAAGAAAGATGAAAATGTAGCAAAGAAACAAAAGGTGGTAACACTGAAAGTGACATTTGAACCAAACATAAATAGAAGAAATAGCTGACTGTGAAGATGTTAACACTGCTGCCATTTGAGAAACACTAGATATGTATCCCATGAACTTAGTGAAGGTGCCCTTGTCAACATGAATGAAGAAAGTCATTGTGGAAAAAGGATGAAGTCCCAGAGGAAGTGATGCTGGCAAAAATCTTCACCTTAAAGGATTTTTCATGACTGAACATAACAAAGAATAAAATGTTGGAATCAGATTCAAACTTAAAAAGGGCTATGACAATTCATCAAGGATTAAGAAAGAGGTTCACTCCACATTATGATATATAGAATGAAAAGAAGGCAAGGGCTATTCAAACTACTGACAAATTTTTTTTTACAAAGAAAACACTTTAATTCCCAGTGTTTGTAATATTTTCAATTACAGAGTGCTATGTAAATATTACTTAGCTATTTTTTCCATTTCCCTATGTATTATGACTGAGAGGAGGTTTTTAATGTTTTGACGTTTTATTATATATTTTTTACACTTTTTTTTAAAGTTCATTTATTTTAGAGAGAAAATGTGAGTGACAGTGAGCAGGGGAGGGGCAGAGAGAGAGAGAGAGGAAGAGAGAGAATCCCAAGCAGGCTCCACACTATCAGTGTGGAGTCCAATGCAGGGCCCAAACTCACAAATCATGAGATCATGACCTGAGCTGAAATCAAGAGTTGGATGCTTAACCGACTGAGCCTCCCAGGCACCCCTGAATGGTTATTTTTATGGTCCCATACTACTCTGCCAAGTGAGGATTGTGTGTATTTGTATCTGAGGAAAAGCACTGGTTGTAAGTGCAACAGTTTTGCTTTTAATGACTCAAGATATTAAAGACTTTATAAATATGAGGTATCTTTATAAAGATCAGAATTCATATCTGAAAAGTTAAACTGTTTGGGAAGTCCCTTCTTCCTTCCTCTCTCAACTAAGAAGAGTAAAGCCTAATAATATATTCATTTTTTAGACCAACTGAGGAAGAAGCTGAGCAATTACTGCAGTTGATGACAAGCCGTCCTCCTGCTACACCGGCTGGGGTTCGCTTTGTTTCGCTTTCCTTTTGTATGCTACTGGCCTTTTCTACACTTGTCAGGTACTTTACTATATAGGTTGCTCTATTTTCTGAAGGTCTGATTTTGTTTGCCTATTAAAATGCATGTATAGCATTAATTAGGAGTGTACTAAAAAAAATTGGTCTAGGGATGGACATTGGTATTATCTTTTAGTAAATGGTGTCAATAGCATCAATTGTATGCCAGTTAAAGAGTCATAATAGTTCTTCAACATTTGTTAAGGCAGATTCCCTTACTTCCTGTTTCCCCTTCCCTCAAGGCAACTTTCAGTTCTTTTAGTGGATTGTTTTGTTTTTTACTTCCATATCTTTAAATACTGTGTTTGTATTTGCTATATTTTGATCTTGATTTTTCAATTTTAGGAATAATTGTTGATTTCCTACTGTGTATGAAAGATGAAGAATTAGTTCTCCTTTCTTCTTTTCCCCCTAGCACATCTATATGTCCTTCCCATCTTCCCATTCTCCTAGTACAGTTATATTGCAATTTTGCTTTGGCAAATACTTAGTTGTTCATATAATACTATTGGGAGTTCAACTATGTAATAGATGATTACTTTTCTTCTGCAAAACTTGCTTTTTGCATTAATAATTATCCTGTATTTTGTTTGTTTTCATTTGTTCTTTATTTTTTGTACTTACATTAATGGAACCTCATACTCTCTGCCAATCTTAACCTCCTCCCAAGATATTTCCCAAAGCATTTCCAAGAATACCTCCCAAGGTATTTCTTAAGGAAATCTCTCCTCCTAACTGGCTCCAGTCTGAACTGATTACCTCTGCATCTGGTACACAGCTCTTATCCTGGAATTGCTCTTCATTATTATTTTCACAACTTGCTTCATGTCTCCTTTTTTGGATTTCCTGTTTCCTGCATCTCATATGTCCTTCTTTTAATTGTTTTCTCATTTTGCTTGTTTAGAATGGATATGTGGGAGGTCAGTTATTTTGAGACTGGGTATTTCTGACAATGTCTTTATTCTACTTTGGAACATGATTAAGTTTCATAGAGTTTAGAATTTGAAGCTGGAAGTAATTTCCTTTGAGAATTTTCAAAGTCTCATTCCATTGTCTTCTGACTTCCAGTGTTGCTGATGAGAAGTCTGATGACATTCTGATTCTTGTTTTTTGTGTAGCCTGTTTTTTTAAAAATATGGAAACATGGAGGATTAACTTTTTGTCCATAGAGTTTTGAAATTTTTTGGATGATAAGCCTTAGTGTGGGTCTGTTTTTGTCTGTTGTCGTAGATATTCAGTAAACCCTTTCAACCTGGGAACTCATGTCCTTTAATCTAGGAAATTTTCTTAAGCTAATTTGTTGGTAATGTTCCAAATGGCTTTTTTTTTTTCCTGTCCAAAACCTTCTCTTACTTAGATATTGGATTTCCTGAAATGATTATCTTATTTTCTTATCCTTTCCTGTTTTCCTTATCTTTGTCTTGTTCTCCTTTTTTTAAAAAACAGCTTTATTGAAAGACCATTCACATACCATAAAATTCACCCATTTTAAAGTTTATGATTTAATAGATTTATGTGTATTTACAAAGTTATACAACCATCACCACAATCCAAATTTTAGAACGTTTTTCACACTCTGAAAAGATACTGTTCATTCTACCTTCTAAGATTTTTTTTCAACTTTTAATCCTCTGTAGTTTTTGATATCTAAGAGTCTTGTTTGTTCTCTGGTTATTTCTTCTGTATAGTAGCTTCACAGTGGCATGCTTTCTCTGATACTAATCATAATGACTGAAGAGATTTTATTAGTACTGTTTCTTTTCTAAGTTTTTTTTTCCTGCTTTTTTTTGGTCTCTATTTTTCAAGTTAGCAAGTTTTTTCAAGGGTTTGATAAGTCTCTATTTTCTTCCTTCCTTTCTTTCTTCCTTCCTTCCTTCCTTCCTTCCTTCCTCCCTCCCTCCCTCCCTCCCTCCCTCCCTCCCTCTCTCCCTCCCTCTCTCCCTCCCTCTCTCTCCCTTCCTTCCTTCCTTTCTTTCTCTTTCTTTCTTTCTTTCTTTCTTTCTTTCTTTCTTTCTTTTCTTCCTTTCTTTCTTTCTTTTTCTTTTGTCTCTTCTCTTCTCTTCTCTTCTCTTTTCTTTTCTTTTCGTGGGCTCCATGCCCAGCATGGGGCTTGAACTCACAACCCAGATCAAGAGTCACATGCTCTAATGACTGAGCCAGCCAGGTGCCCCAGGGGCTTGATAATTCTTGATTGTTTATATTTAAATATAAATATAAGTAGGAAAATAAATAAATAAATAAATAAATATAAGTAGGAAACTGATAAGCAGATTAGAATCTTTTAATGTATAGGTAGCTCTTTGGGAAACTTATCAGATTCTTAGAGGAGACTTTTGTCTTGTGTAGAGAGTAAAGGCCTGACAAGAAACCCATAAGCAAAGTTGAAAAATGAGGGTTAGGGAACTAAGCTTGTAGTTTAATCATTCACTTAATTCTCCTACATTTTGAACGGTGCTTCAGATATCCCTGGTTGTCCCTTAGTTCAAAGACACCTTCTTTTACCATCTCCAGAGCATAAATCTTCAGTCTTCTCTCTGCTGGGGGAGGGGGATTCATCTAATTGTGTAGAATGGAGGAGGTGATCTGGAGGTCTACTACTTATATAGACTGTTGACCTTTTTAATTTAGGCTGTGTCTTCACTCTTCCTCCTAGAACTACCTGGAGCTGTCAGTTCCTAAGCTCTTTGGGGATTCTGTGGTATAAAGTGGATTGGCTTTTCCTTCCTGCCAGTTGAGTATTCTGCTTTCTTGCATCTGCTGAATCAGTTACCACTCTTCCATATGTTCTCTTGCTTCCAGTATTCTGTGTTGTTGTCCATTGTCATCATCATATGCATTTATGCCTTTTAGGAAAATCCCTTTAATGTAGTTTGGGGTTTTAGGAGGGTGTGAAATTAGGTAATAAAATGACGTGATTTCTCTTTTCCTGAAGTAATTTCTAAACATTATCTCTAATCTTCATTACTTTTAAAAGGTGGATATATTTATTTGTATTTTTGGATAGGAGAGCTAAAGTTCAGAAGGATCATTTAAATTTCTTGTCTGAGATTAACAGAGAGAGGATTCCTACTGAGGCTTGCCATGCTCTAAAGGCTATTATCTTTCTACTACATAACTCTGTCTTTTTTTAGAGCAATGATTTATGTAGAGTTGAGACTCACCTTTTAAATTTTCTTAACTTGGGTTAGCAGGCTTTTCAGTTGCTTTTGTTTTATCCATTTATACTGCAATGAAGTAGAAGAAAATCAATGCAAATTATTTTCACAAGTCAAAGTTGACTTGTACCTTTTGATGTAAATCTAGGAATTCCCTTTTAAAAAGTCATTGTTGGTATGTTTTTATAATCATTTTTTATGTGTGATGAGCCCATGCCTCTTTTTTCTTTTTCTTTTTTTTTGAATAGTGCTCTCTTATTTCTCTATAGTTTTGAGTTCTGCTCAAAATGTTTTTTACAAAAAAATTTTTTTTCATTTTGTTTATTTGAGAGAGAGAGAGCACAAACAGGGGAGAGGGGCAGAGGAAGAGAGAGAGAATTTCAAGCAGGCTCCATGCTCAGCACAGAGCGTGACATGGGGCTCAATCCCACAACTTAGGATCATGACCTGACCTAAAATCAAGAGTCAGACACTCAACAAACGGAACCACCCAGGCACCCGTCTGCTCAAAATGTTTTTCAAAACTAAATTTTAATTACCTTGTTACTGATCTCATACTCAGTTTGTGACTTTTTGGTGATTGTTTTAACACTGGATTTTTTTTCTATATGAAATATCAGCTGTTAATGCAGTTTTTCTAACATTTTAATCCCAAAAGGTCTTTGCTTTTCAAAAAATGTGAGGAAGTTCACTTTCTCCAACTTGTAAATGCAGTAATTAAAACTTTGAGAGGGTTTGACTGTTCACATTCATAAAGAAAAGCAAAGGCCCTTATTCTTCATCTCTGGAACTACTTCATTATTTCAGTGACAGGTAATAGCCATTTCAACAAGGAGTTAATTTAAATTGATATTTCAAAATAGCGAAGGAAAAAATACTATCTACTAAAAAATAATTCCAGAATGCTTTCTCATTCTTATGCTAGTATCTCTGATAAACCATTGACTTTTTCATGTTTTATATAGTACACCTGAACAGGAGCAGCTAATGGTAGTGTGGCTAAGTTGGATGATAAAAGAAGAAGCATATTTTGAAAGGTAAGGTGACTCCATTTGTTTCAGTTAGTAAGTTTTTCTTAACTTCTTTTTGGAAATTCATATTTTCTTTTTTGTTTCAACAGTACATCTGGCGTGTCTGCTTCTTTTGGGGAGATGTTGTTATTGGTCGCTATGTACTTTCATAGCAACCAGCTTAGTGCTATCATTGACTTGGTCTGTTCCACTTTGGGGATGAAGGTAATTTTCTTTTATCTTCTTTCTGAGGAAGGTGTTTCTAGGTGGGGCATTTTCTTGTAGTGTACAGTATATTTTGTTTCCATTTTGAAGTAATTTTAGTTTAATAGTTTGAAATTTTATCAGGAAAAAATATATGTTTTGAAAACATTTATTTACAAGAATAATAGATGTTCGATATAGAAAGCATGAGAATACACAAAGGAAGAATATAATTTCATTTTTCAAGATATCAAGGATACTACTGTTCACATTCTGGTGTCTACTCTTTCTTTACATTGATATATTTTTCAATTTTTCAATTTAAAGAACTTAACCAACATGTGATGACATATCCTCATATCAATATATATTCTAGGGTGCCTGGGTGGCTCAGTCGGTTGTGCGTCCGACTTCGGCTCAGGTCATGATCTTGCAGTTCACGAGTTTGAGCCCCAGGTCGGGCTCTGTGCTGATAGCTCAGAGCCTGGAGCCTGCTTCAGATTCTGTGTCTCCCCCTCTCTCTGCCTCTCCCCTGCTCACACTCTGTCTCTCCCTCTCTCTCAAAAATAAATAAAAACATTAAAAAAAAATTCTGATACAATATCATTTTTATTATGGACTGCATAGTAGTCCATCATATGGACCAATTAGGATTTTCTTAATGGATCCTTTATTTGCCATGTAGATTTCTTACTTTCTGAATAGTGCTTAGATGATTATCCTTATTTATGTAAATACATACATAGGTACTCACATATGTTTATCTTTAAACTTGTTTTTTAAGTAATCTCTGCACCCACCATGGGGTTTGAACTCACAGCCCCAAGATCAAGAGTTACATGCTTTACAGATTGAACCAGCCAGGTACCCCCTTTAAACAATTTTTGGATTATCTCCTTAGGAAAAAGTTCTAGAAGGCAATTACTAACTAAAAAGAATATAATGATATTAATATAATTGCCAGATTATCTTACTGAAAGTTTATATCGTTTTAACTGTTCTCATTAGTGCATGAAAGTACCAGTTAACTGGACTCTCACCATCACTGGGTGTTACGATTCTTTTTCATCTTTACAAATTTGATTGATGAAAGATGGTTCCACTTACTTTGCATTTCATCGATTACTAGTGAAACTGTGTCTTTTGTGTTTTTTTAAAAGGTTTTTTGTATTAGTTTTTTTTAATGTTTATTTTTATTTTTGAGAGCAAGAGAGACAGACAGAATGTGAATGTGGCATGGGGGAGAGAGAGAGGGAAACACAATCTGGAGCAGGCTCCAGGCTCCAGGCTCCGAGCTGTCAGCACAGAGCCTGACGTGGGGCTCGAACCCACGAGCAGCGAGATCATGTCCTGAGCCAAGGTTGGACGCTTAAGTGACTGAGCCACCCAGGCGCCCCAAAAGATATTTATTTTCACTTATTTTTTTAAGTAGGCTCCATGCCAATGTGGGGAGAGAACTCAAAACCCTGAGAGTAAGAGTCATATGCTGTACCGAATGAGCCAGCCAGGACCCCCAAAACTGTATTTATTTGAACTTTAATTTTATATATCACAGTCATTTTAGATAATAAATTTATTAAAGTGTGCTTCATATATTTTTATGTGCTGAGAATTTTTTTGGTTGTTTTAGATTGTAATTAAGCCAAGCTCCTTGAGCAGGATGAAGACTATCTTCACACAGGAAATTTTTACTGAGCAGGTACTTCTTTTAACTTTATTCTTTAGGTACTTCTTTAATTTTGTTTTACAACATTCATTTGGGGAAAACTTGCATATCTCAGTTTAAGAGTATACTATAGTCCTTTAGTTTCCAATGATAGTTTATTTAATCTCTGAAACTTCTGTAAAGAATAATCCCATTTAAAGTTTACTTTTTTGAGAGAGAGAGAGGGAAGAGTGTGGAAAGGCAGAGAGAGAGTGAGAGGGAAAGAGAGAATCTCAGCAAGGAGCTGATGCAGGGCTCGATCCCACAACTGTGAGGTCATGATGTGATCTGAAATCAAGAGTGGGGGAGCACCAGGGTGGTTCAGTCGGTTGGGCAACTGACTTCAGCTCAGGTCATGATCTCACGGTTTGTGGGTACGAGCCCTGCGTCGGGCTCTGTGCTGACAGCTTGGAGCCTGTTTCGGATTCTGTGTCTTCCTCTCTCTCTGCCCCTCCCCCACCAATGCTCTGTCTCTGTCTCAAAAATAAACATTAAAAAAAAATAATAATGAAATCAAGAGTGGGTTGTTTAACCGACGGAGCCACCCAGGCACCCCTAAAGTTTACTTTTAAAGTATATACTACATACAAATGTATGTTTTAAATTTATATTTTTTGGAGATTTTGAGTAAATACTAAGAGTATGGTCTTAGATGTTGATGGTAAGGATCTCACATAGAGTAATCATTTGGATTTGTCAAGAGAAAAACAAACTATATACCTGTTTAAACTTTTAGGCTGTAATGTTCATTTCTAACGAAATTATAAGCTAGAGTGTCTACATTCCTTATTCTTGTATTTACATGTTCTTATTTGGCCTTAGTTCTTTTGTCCATGGGTAATCTTAAGGATATTTTGGTTTTTTTTAGCGAGGAGACAATTCTGAAATTTAAAATTAATTCCCAGATTAATTTGTTAATGTAAACCTCAGATAACAAAGAACATACATGCCTTAAAAAATGAGATTCGAAAATACTCATGGATGCATAACTGTGTTTATTTTAGGGTAATACTCTCATCCCTATACCAAACTCTTTTCTCTCCTCAATGTACATACACTCCCACGTACAGACACACATGGTACATAGGAGACTCATAAGTTATTTTTTATGTGTTTATTTGAACTGACTGGAAGATGACTTTGGGAAGGGTCTTTGAACAACCATTAGAGGTCTATGCATGACAGAATGAGAATGACAATAAAAATTCCTGTTTATGTCAATGTGATAATTTATATCATATATAAAGAATTTATATCACATATAAAGAACTGATACTTTATAATTGACATATGTTTTTCAAAGCGCTTTTTCCCCCTCACAAAAACCTTTGAGGCAGGTAAGACTATATTGTTCCATTTTATAGATGTGAAAATAGACTCCAAAGATAAAATGACTTATGTAAAGTCACTGAGTCCAGATTTTATGATTCCAAATTTTAGATTTTTATTTTACCTTACTACATCACTGTCAACCTATCTATGCTTAAAAACAAATTTAAAAAATTAGAGTACTTTACAAATTCCTAAATGTATGCTGCCTCATCATTCAGAAGTATTAATTACCATGTAATTAGTTTTTCTCATTCATTCCTAAGGACCGCATTTGTATTAAATATTGACAGTCTACCTGCTAATCTTCCCTGTTTCAGAATAATTTTATATTTGGTTTTATCATATGTATTAATATTGTTTTCCCTTTTAGGTTGTCACAGCTCATGCTGTTCGGGTCCCTGTCACCAGCAACCTGAGTGCCAACATTACTGGATTTTTGCCCATTCATTGTATTTACCAGCTTCTCAGGAGTCGTTCCTTTACCAAGCACAAAGTGTCAATAAAAGTATAACCTTATAGTTATATTTCAAGCTACAACCCAAGTTAATGGTTTTTTTTCCTAGTTCTATTTCTGTTTATAGGCTTCTGTGGATTTTGTGTATAAAATATGTCTAATTACTATCCATTTATACATAGTAACTAGGACTATGTATAAATGTATCTATAGTTAATGTCAGATTTTAAAAATAATATAATTCTTAAGTTATTGACAAAATGTACAATGGTACTAATCCATTTGAATTTTCAATAATAGCATGTGGCTATTTCGTTAAAACCTAGTAAGAAATTGCCATTTTCTATACTTTGGTTTTCTTTACCAAACAAAGTTTCTTGTCAGCCATGACCAGCATTTGTACTTTTGTCACAAGGATAGCTAACACCTAACGTACATATTTCGATATATTTCCAGTTACTTATAGTTGGCTATATCAAACAGTTAAAAGGTCTTCTAAAGAAAAGGATAAACCCCAAAAGTAAAGAAATCTGAGCCTTTTCTGGAGGCTCTTTAATTTATAAAGAATAATGAACACTTATATGCATTGATATATTACCTTTAACTATCCTTGTTTTCATGATTTAGTGAAGTTGTTTTCCAGGTAGATTGTATCTTCTGCTTCTTTATATTTTTAACAAATGAAATAGAAAAGATTTAAGAGTCTGAATGCACACCCACCATATCTACATGTCCTCTATCTGTGTGTAGTTAAGTGATAGTCTCTCCCATAAGTAGTTGCCAAGGCCACTTTTTTTTTTTAAGTAGTCTCTAAGCTCAGTGTGGAGCCCAGCACAGGCCTTGAACTCACAACCCTAAGATCAAGACCTGAGCTGAGATCAAGAGTCAGGTGCTAAACCGACTGAGCCACCCAGGCAACTCATCACTTTCTTAATCTATCTGAGGATTTGCTGTAAAGAGTTATTCCTCTCCCTAAATTCCTCTGTGCTATGGGGTCTATACCTAAATATAGATATAGTAGTGACTTACAATATTTTTCCTACTACTTAAAAACTAATAGACTAAAAACCCAAAGTCCATATTTGAAACCCAGACTCATCATTTTAGATTTATCTTCTACTAGACAATAGTCTTGATTAAGATATAACAAGTAATTCATATTTTTAAATCAAAGACAGTTGTGAAACTGGGTAATATATTTAGAACTGCTAAAAGTTAATAGTTTCAGTGATTCATAAATCATGTAAAATTGTATGTACTTATTAAATTTTACTTGCTTTTTCTTATTGCCATAATTGATTTAGTGCCTATAACCTTCTTTTTTAGGACTGGATTTATAGACAGCTGTGTGAAACCTCTACTCCACTCCATCCTCAATTACTTCCTCTGATTGATGTATACATAAATTCCATACTTACTCCAGCATCTAAATCTAATCCAGAAGCCACAAATCAGCCAGTCACAGAACAGGAGATCCTCAGTATTTTCCAAGGAGTCATTGGGGTAAAGTAGTTGTTCTTGTACATTTTTCTGATTTTTATTTTATTTTATTCTTCTGACTTGTTTCATATTATTTCTTTGATTATTAGAGGACTTCTGGGTGGTTCTGAACTTTAAATGAGATAAAATTTCTTCAGCTCACTTAGGAAATTTATAGGTATGTTATTAGTTCCAAGTGGTTTGTTGAAGAGGCACTTTTTGAGGAGTTCTTTTAAAAGGTCCATTTTAAAGTCTAAAGAGTGCCCCAGAGAGTGTGTGCTTAACACAGGACTCTGTGACATTACAATACATTCAACAGATGTTTGTTTAGCTTCCTGGGAATCTAAGATCTACTTAGATTCAATTGGGCAACTTGAAGAAAATTTTTTTTTGTCCATTTCTTAGAAGGAAAAGATGGTTGTATTTTTCATAAATATATTCAGACGTAAAATATATATTTTTTAGGAGTTATGTTCTTCATAGGTGATTTCAGGTAATACTTGAGACTCCAGTAAACCTTTTTCAGAAGCAGCCTGATAGAATTGCTGTTGAGGAAAGCTGAAGTCCTTTTTTTTTTTTTTTTGTCTTAAAGACTGTTAAGCATGTTGCCTTTCATCTTCCATACCATCTCAAATTTAAACTTCAAGTTGTCTCTGAGTTTAATACAAACATGGCAATGTTTCTCCCATTTTATCTGCTCTTGGGAATAGTAACACTGAATAGTCTATGTTAAATGATTTTACCATCAAAAAAGCAGTCATGAAATTTAACAGTATTTTAAAGTATTTATATTATTACCTCCAGGGTGACAACATCCGTCTTAATCAACGTTTCAGTATCACAGCACAGCTTTTGGTGCTTTACTATATACTGTCTTACGAGGAGGCTCTCCTAGCAAACACAAAGACTTTAGGTAAGGTGTACATGTATATAGGGGAGTGTTTCTAGTGATCGTTCATTTGATTTGCTTATATTGTGTTATTTTCCAAGCTGTCATGAGAAAATAAGGTCTAGTAAACTAACAAATTCCAGTATCATTCTGTAGTCTTTGCAATGTAGGCATTATATACTCTGATGCATAAATACATGTATGTATGGGCACATGACCACCCCTTGAGGCTCAGTCTTCTTTTTTTTAGCAGGCTAAATTAATAATGGCCTAATTGCCTATATTTTAGCAATTTAGTGACTCTACTAAGTACCTATAAATTAAGAGATAAATCTGAAAGAAGTAACTGAAATTTTTTTGCTTGATTTCAATCTTTGCCCTGCCTTCCTTCCATTAGTGTGAAGAATACCAACTATTCAAAAACAGGAGAAAAAAACAACAGAAGAGTTTCATTTTGCCATTAAAATTATCACTGAACTGGGCTTTCAAACAGCAACTTTAATATCAGAAGATCAGATTTAACATAGAAGATATTGGTATAAAGTAGTATGCTCTTCTATATTTGAAAAAGAAAATTCACCTGTGTTTTAGGCTTGCTAAGTGTATGTAGTTCCATACTGAACAAAAAGTGTCATTAGAAAGCTGTAGGCATTTAGTATGTAATACAGGGAAAATTCTTGTAAGGGCTGTTATTTTGCTGAGTGATTTTACTTTTTGAGAGCTATAAATCAAAGTTACTATTCAGTGTTCGGTGGGTCAGTTTCTTTTATTTATCTTAAGTATTGGGTTTTAAGAATACTGTGGATTTCTCAGCTGCTTTCTTTCCTGACTATAATCATTAGGGTTATATGGATGATATCCCTTAACTGTAATTATAATCTTAGTCATATTAGCCACAAGATGGGCTAATAATAAGCAGTAGATAATAGTCTCTCACTTTTATCCACATATAACTAATTCTGTTAAAAAAAAAATGACACTTGTGATTCAGTAGACCATAGAAGAATAAATTACAAGAAGGTGGTCTGGGGGAGAATTCAGACCATTCACACTGTAGCTGGAACCAAGATACACTCTTATTTTTTATATAAATTAATGTTTAGCAAAAAAATTTTTTAATACAGGAACGTACAGAGAGTAGTATAGTCAACTCTTATGTGTATACCATGCAGAATTAACAAGTACTCAGGATTTTTAGGACTGGAGCAATCTTTAAAGATTATATATTCCAGTCCCCAGTGATATGCTTAGTTCAACTCTGTTCCTGTTAAGCCTCTGTTCTTTACTCAATAATCTAATGGATCTCAGTTGGAAAGTTAAGGATTTTAGGTTAGGAGTACAACTTGGCCTGGATTGAATCTGGGAAAGGAACTGGGGCATTAGAGGAAAGTTATTAAGTTTTTACAAGATTCTAGGGAAAAGATAGTGGTGTTTTGGACTGATAGTGCATATGTATTTTTCAATTAGAGTTTAAATGTTTTGCTGATGAATTCATGAGATTTGAGAGACCTGAGCCAAAGTTAATGTGGAGCCTTTTGGCCTGAGCCTAAAGGACAGAATGGCTATCAACTGAAATAAAAGAGCCAGGGGAAGGAGCAGATTTGTGGAGGATCAGGAGCTCAGTTTTGGACATGTTAATTTTGAAATGTGTGATAAACTTTCAAATGGGTATGTTAAGGAGATAGTTATATAGACTGGCCTGGAATTCAGGGGAAATAACTAGACTTTGAGATTCTTCAGCATATGTATGATATTTAAAATCATGACATTAAATAGGATCACCAAGGACAAGAGTAAAGTGTGGGAGAATCAGGAGGTTATGATGTCCTGGAAGCCAAGAGAAGATGTTTCTGAAGATACAGTGATCCCCTCTGTCAAATGATGTTTCTAGTAAGTTAAGGTTTGGACTGAGGCTCAGCTGATGACTGCATATTGCTTGCTGGATGTCATTTGACTTTTACAGTTTTACTAGTAAAGTGGTAGGAGAAAGCCTGATTGTAGTGAATTGAAACGAAAAGTAGAGGAGATATACTGAAGACAGTGAGCAGAGACAGGTCTTTGGAGAAGTCATAAAGAAAGGAAAGCAATGAATGTGATAATTGGAGAGGAAAATGAGGTCACGAGAGGGCTTCTTTTTTTTTTTTGAAGGTGAAAGAGTTTAGGGAATGTTTGTATGTTGTTGGGAGTAATCTAATGGAGAGGCAAGGTTGATAATGCTGAGGACAGAACCCCTGGACTGATGTCCTTGAGAGGTGATGGATGTGGAAAACAAATAGAGAGATCTGTCTTTTTCTTTTTGGTTGAGGAGACTTTTTCCTAGTCTAGTTTCTCATCTCCAAGGGGAATAAATAACTGCAGAATATGTCACAACATGAGAGAACTTTGCTCTTTCACATTCAAAATGGTAATTCTGCCTCACATTTAATTCCTACATGTGAAGTTGTATTCTGGTTTTAGTACATTGTTAAATGTTCTGTGGTTTTGGCCCTTATAATAAAAATTATTGGTAACCACCAGGTAGCTGAAGATGCTCACATATGGAATTCTGAAATTTCAGTTAGAACCAAGTATTGGATTATCATAGCCATTAAAGTGCATATGAGGACATCTGGGTGGCTTAGTTCGTTAAGCATCGACTCTTGATTTTGGCTCAGCTCATGATCTCATAGTTTGTGGGATCAAGTCATATATCAGGTTCTATGCTGACAGTGCAGAGCCTGCTTGGGATTCTCTATGTCCCTCTCTCTCTCTGCCCCTCCTTCTCATATGTGCATGCTCTCTCTCTTTCTCAAATAAACATTGGAAAAAAAGTGCATATGTGTCTATATATTTTTCGTATGCACATATATTTTTGGTTTGTTTAAAAATATTTATATTTGTTTATATTTATACCATGTATATTAATTTTAGTTAAATATTGTATTGATCCAGAAGAATATATGTAAGAAATAGAGTGCTATAATAAATCCCGGTGTACTAATACCTAATTAAAATATGAGCATTACCATTATAGTTCCAGTTTTTAGACTTAAAAAATGTTTCCTGTTTATTACATCTAAAGACTTTATTACCTCTCTTTCTGCCCTTCCTTCTCTTGCTCTCTCGAAAATAAATAAACACTAAAAAAATAAAATAGAATGCAGTAACTTTTAAGCAAACATTGGCCAATGTTATTTTTTTTTAATGTTTATTTTTGAGAGAGGGAGAGAAAGAGAGAGACAGAGCATGAGAGGGGGAGGGGCAGAGCGAGAGGGAGACACAGAATCCAAAGGAGGTTCCAGGCTCTGAGCTGTCAGCACAGAGCCCATTGCAGTGCTTGAACCCATGAACTGTGAGATCATGACCTAAGCCAAAGTCAGATACTTAACCGACTGAGCCGTCCAGGCACCCCATTGGCCAATGTTATTTATTGGCAACTTCAAGTTTTGGAACTTTAAAGTTTGGACAAAAAAGTTGTATGACCATATTTTAGAGTAACAGTATAAGAATTTTAAAAACTTATTTCATTGTTTACCTACCTAATTGTACCTTATTTGATGCAAAGGAACTGGATTTAAAAAAAGAAAACATTTATTAGAAGTTGTGTTTACTGGAAAAAAATCCAGAAATGAGAAAAGTAAAAAGATTGAAATAAACCACCCATAATTCTGCTAGTCACCATTTGAATTTTCTTAGAAAACCTTTCAGTCTTTGCACAGATGATAGCTTTTACAAAGTCAGAATCATAATACATTTTTTTAAAGATTTTATTTTTAAGTAATCTCTACACTCATTGTGAGGCTCACAACCCTGAGATTAAGAGTTGCGTGCTCTACTGATTGAGACAGCCAGGCATCCCAGTAATACATATTTTTAATCTAACCTTTCTCCTTAATACATTTTAAACACTTGCCTATTATAGTACATTTTCAAGGACATCTTTAAATAGCTGTACAATATTTCCTCATAAATATCTCATTACTAACAAACTTCTTTTTATTGGACATTTAAACCGTTTCCAAATTTTGCCATTATAAACAGTGGAGGAATGACTGTTAGAGCTAACTTTGTACATAGGCATGATTATTTCTGTCCTTAGGAGAGATTCCTAGATATAGAATTACTAAGTCTATAGTAATTGTACTATAAATTGTAAGATTTAAAAAATGAACAAGTTTGCCTGGGTGGCTCAGTCAGTTAGGCGTCTGCCTCTTGATTTTGGCCCAGGTCATGACCTCTGGTCAGTGGGTTTGAGCCCTGTGTTGGGCTCTGCACTGACAGTGCAACGCCTGCTTGGGATTTTCTCTCCCTCTCTCTTTGCCCCTGCCCCACTTGTACTCTCTCTCTCTCTCTCGCTCTCACTCTCAGAATGAATAAATAAAATTTATATAAAAAAGATGAACTGCCATATTCCTTTCCAGATAGGTTATACCAATATAGACTCCTATATTTGCATAAGATGTGAGTACTTTTTTATAATATAGAGTATTATTATTTATGGTGTTTAAAAAAAATTTTTTTTGATGTTTTATTTATTTTTGAGAGACAGAAAGAAACTGAGCTTGAGCAGGGGAGGGGCAGAGAGAGAGGGAGACACAGAATCTGAAGCAGGCTCCAGGCTCTGAGCTGTCAGCACCTCAGTTTATGGTGTTTTTTAATTATAAAATTTTGGGGGGAAGAAAATCTTCCAAAGCTAGGTACTAACGTTCATATAACTAATCACCTCTATGTTCTTTTAGGACCTTATTATTTCCTTTTTAAAATTTAAGTATGCCTTTAATTAATTTTGGTGTAAAGTATGGGGTACAGATCCAATTTTATTTTTTTATAATTGGCTATTTGTCAACATCACATAGTGAATAATCTGTCATTTTCCTATTGCTTTGGAAGGTCACTTTGATGTACATTGAAGTTTTCTTCCAAACCTATGTCTGATTTTGGATTTTCTTTCTTAAGTTCCAGTCACTTTCATCATAACTTCTTGTTCAGAATTTTTGTCTGTTCTTACATGTTTAATCTTTCACATGAACTTTCCAGAGAAGATT